CTTAATGAACATCTGAATGTGACCTACTGAATGTTTATTTAAAGAGATGCGCTCTGCCGGGATTGTTCTTATACTGCTGCCTAGCCCTGGCGAGTGTAGAGCTGCTCTAATTAAATTCATTACAATTACACTATAATTCCATTCCATTTGGATTTAATCAACATTAAATAACTTCTGGAGTTAAAATCGTTTTACGCACTATTATCGTCGATCGTCATCGATTTAACAAAGGAGTGCGCGGGCTGTGTACACATTACAAGTGTTATACAAAACTTGGTTGCGGGAGAGCGTGACGTGACCGGAAGTGGTCGCGTATTCCTTATTTACACAGGCTTAACGCCACCTTGCACCCCCACCCCTACCCCCATCTCTACATAGTTTTGATTAAACGGCCTGATTGTTTGGACTTGCTATTAGTTTTTGGGCCGCGCCTGCTGCGTTAGATAATAGAGAAACCAAAATAAGCCGCGAAGTAAACGTAGTTTCGGTTCATAAATACTTGCTCGTAGCTAAGGACCGCCGCGTCGTGCCGCGGGGGGGCTCGCACAGCGCCGCGGTAAAGTTTGTCTACACTAGCTAACGCTACTGGTTAAATTTACCCTGTAAGAAAGGTGTTATGATAAATATTGTAAAACTTTGCTCGGCCCAATATTGCAAACTTTGTAACACCAAAATAACTTAGTGAACTACATTGAAAATAAGCTAGGGACTCATAATAAACGTAATGTTTACCTACATTTTGTTGGAAGTAAAGTTATAAATTAATTTTGATCAAATACAGCTAATTTCTAAACAAACAAACAAACAAGCGAGGACTGTTTACTCAGGTTATTTGGTCTGTACATAAGGGTGTTTGCGGCGCGGCTAGACTTTGCTGAAGGCATTAGCGACAATGGAAGCCTGCGCCGGGAGCGAGGCGTTGCTTGCCGCACTAACTTTGCACAATGGGTTTAGGCTGAAGTGATTAGTTGTGAGCCTAATTCGCAATGCGGCTGTTTCGAACAAAAACCAGAACAGTCTTTGTTGTTAAGTTAGTAAATTCCAAAGGCTAACTATAAGATTGATTTTATAATTCTGGACTCATGTCAATTAACATATCTCGATTTCGTAAAGTTTTCTTTTAAATCTAAATAAAGAAATGTTTATTCCGTGAAAGGAATTTTAATTATGGCAAATGTTTGTTGATAGTTGTCAAACTGTTGTTAGGGATTAATTGGTCGATTTCATTTCCGATGCGAGTGTGTAGTGCGGTACGGTGTAGTGCCGTGTCGTGTTAACTGTCCACTCCTGTTTGCGAGCTCGCCGGCTGGGGGCGCTTAGTGCCCCTTGCCATGATCCCTGCAGATCGCACACCGCTGGAAATCGTTTCGAGTCCAACTGTCAGTTAATTATTAGGTAATATTATATATAGGTAGGTAATATATACGTAATATGGTGTGACAATTAACTCAATCGCTTAAAGGCCGTCTCTCAGAACTGAAGATGTCTATTGCGACACAATCTTACGAAATAATAGACATGGGAATTAAGTTTCGATTCTTAACTGTCACTTCTCAGTTTTGTTAAAAACGGAAAATGTTTCATTTTTTATGCTCTTGCGCATAAACCTTAATAATATGCACAGAACAAGCTGTAAATCAAACCTAACTCTAGAACTGTGAAACATCAAAATAATATTAAAACGATACCGTGTGCGACATATGCGCTGATATCCGCTAATTTATTATTCCTTGTTGGCTCATTCGATAATTACTCCGATCCATTGCCACAGGATTGCGGATTAAATTTCCTGATCATTTGCAAAACAATGGGCTCTGCGCACGGCGCGGCGCGGTGCGGCGCGGCGGGGCCAAATGTCATCGCTATCACACGCCTAAATAATTTTTAATTGGTAATATTTAAATGGAAAAGTCAAAGACTGTTTTATGGAAACGATTACAGAAATCTATGCCAATATTGTTAAATGAAGTCAGAAATAAGTATCATATTAAAAATAAAATACGTCAGATGAAAATAAAGGAAGACAAATAGAAACTAAAATAATGACGACTAGTTATTATATGTTTTGCTCTGACTTTCTCACACTTTTTACGTTAACTGCAAACGAACTCACTTTCTCTAAACATAGCACAAGATAATTAATTACGATTCAGAATTCACTTAACATTCTGAATACAATTTATCGCCGTTTCGTCGAAACGTGAATGTCTTAAATGGTATTGCTGATTGTGGCGCACGAGAATAATAGCTCGCAGCGACGACGCACTACGTTATGTTGTCAGCCGAACAATCATCTAAATGTTAAACTTAGCTCCTTGCATTAAGATATCGGCTGTGGCCTGTGGCCGAGGGTCGTTCGTTCGTTCGTTCGTTGTTCGTCGTTCTGCCGGGGAGCAGAGAACTGCGCGCAAATCCGCTCAGATAACATCGCTTCATACAAACACAACAATAACCGGGCCTGTAATCAGAGCTGGTAGGGCGCTAACTGCGCCTCGTAGCCCTTCAATAAAACTGTCACCCTCTGCATCCTATTCGCACCATCCGGTGCTTTATCATTTTTTTCGATCAGTGCCTGCGGGCTGGCTGCCTGCCGCTGCGGGGCGCGGGACGCGGGGTCGGCTGACAGCTTTCCACTTGGGATTAACTTTGTATTGCAGAGGAAAAAAAATTAATAGCTTCTTTCGAAGACGGGACGCGGACCTCGGATGTTAAGTGTTAGTTACTTTATTGGCGTTTTTGTTCGTTGCCATGAATAGATTTATTGGTAAGGGTCCCACTAATATAGGGTTTTAAGTTTCAGATGAAACGAATAAAAAGGGGGATTTTTATAGTTTGAAGCAGTTTGATAGATGGTAAATACACGTTCACTTAATAATTACGTCAAAATGATAACAGTAAACTAAAGCTACATCGAGCACAATGTGTTGGAGTTAGAGCGCAGTGGCGTGTCGTCTCCTTCGCGACTCGCGTCTTACCTCTATATCATTTTACTATGACAAAAATTTCATTACGACACATATAAGTTATAGGTCGTCGAATACTAATTCGCTTTGGACATAACTTAAATTACGTTTCCAGTACACATATGTACCAGTATATACAAAACCTCTGTCTGATTACACACGCGGATGATATTTTTAGGTAATGGAAGTAGTTTAGTAGTGCCAAGAAGTATTAAATTACTTTGAAATTAATATTCATTAAATAATAGACGATCAAAGTTTGAAAAACAATACGCCGAGTGCGGGATTATAATTGAAAGCAATATATTGTAGATACAATAATGCCGGTGACACACCGCGCGATATATTGTAACGTTATTCTACCCCGCCCCTGCCCCCGCCCCCCTACTCCTCCATCAATATTTCACAATAATGATTTAGGTAAATAGCGGATAGCGCTCGTAAAATGTGAAATTTAAACAATGAATTGGTTCGGTATCCAATGTGCCCGCGCCGCGTCCGTCGCCTCGCTGCACTGTCAATAGAATTATTTACGAGCGCGTTATTTTGGATTGGATCGCACCAATTCCAACCCATCATGAATATATTCCTCCGCCAACAATGACGTCATTAATAAATAACGTCGATCCCAGTGCCAATATCTATACGCACAAATCAACGGGAATTTCACAAGAGTCTCCGTCAACACAACAAAACTGGCTCTATTTGAGTTTCATTATGAATTTACATTTACAATGTACAACCAGGCTCTACATTCATTTAATCTCCATGTCGATTTGATATAAACAGTAAGAAGGGTAATGAAATGGAGATTTATCTATCCTGGTTATGTTATTTTGTAAAAGTTTAAAGACAGCGAGGAAATGTATGATAGTATAATCTATCTATAGATTCTACTATCGTGTATTTGCTAGATATCATCAGGAGCTACATGAAATAATGTATCACAATACAGACTGCTTGTCACGTCTTCAGACAGAGATCGTCGTCCTGTTAATGTAGTGCCACACTTCATGCCCGCGCTCCGGTCGCGAGCTGCCAACGCGCCACACAAATAGAATTGCAAGAATACTATACTTGGATTACGGAAGTTTATGCTATTCTATGACACTTTTTTACTGTATTATTGAAAGTTACTTTTTGGTTGTCGTTTTCCGAGTATCCAGTTTAAATAAGAAATTATGGAAACGGTCTTTATATGTAAATAGACTTTAAATTATTCCACAGTTGTTGATGACGTTACGATATTCAAAAATATGTTAGACATACAAAGCATAATTAAACGGATCTGCCCACAGCCCGCGGGAGTTCTCGCGGTCAACAAATATTGATAGAAGTTGATCGGGTTACGTCGCCGCCGCGGATGAGGTAAACACTCCGCCCGACTAGAGCGCGCACACTGCGTAAGCTTACAACTACATCAACACAAAAGGTTTACCTGTTAAATTTTAGTATTTTTAAGACGATAATTGGTTCTATAGGACCGTCTTGTGAAGCCGGTTGTAAAGCAGTGATTGAAGTATTTTTGTACCAAAATGTACAAAACTGTAAAAAACTGTACAACAATTTGCAATCACATTTTTTTTTGCTTAAAACATCAAATATAATATAATACCAAGGTTGACCTTGAAAACGAGCTGTCATTGCGTCGTGAATGAAGTTGGCCTGAGAGCCGGCGGCGGGACTTGCCACGTGACGTGACGTGATGAGTGCGGCGAATCAATTGTCACGCTGTCGCGGACTTCGCTACGGGCTTGCGGGACGAATAGCGCGCTCTCACGGCCATACGAAATGCGTGCACAGTGCCTTATTTACATTTTCATATACAAAGATATTGCGACTAGAGATCTAGATATATCTACAGCCATTAAAAATAATTTGGCATATCCATAAATGCGATGCGATAGGTTATTTTTGAACGGCAACAGAAGTCACTACTCTCATCTCAGGACACCTGGCTCATAGAATACCTCGCCCTTCAATTACAAATACCAAAAGGCAGATAAGGATTTATTGTAGATGTGTGTTGGCACCAACCTGGTGGACATCCGCAGTCGCCATAGTCCCTGATGCTGCGTGCAGCGCGCCAGTGCAGATAGGGTCGTGGGAGCCGCGGCGGGCGTAGGTCGCGCCGCAATCTGGCGGCGGGTTGTAGGGGCTCGAGCACGGCGCTGCGCAACGCTGCGTGCTGCTCCTCCAGCAGCGCCAGCCGGCCCTGCAGCCCCTGCTGTCGGTACAGGCTGTACCCGCTGGACACTAGGCTCATGGCGCACGCACACCACAGCACCGCACAGTACGCCCACGGGTCTCCGGGACAACGCTCCTCGCACCTTTCAGTGGCCTTCTTGCTCTCCCGCCGAGTCTCTCTCTTCTCCTTGTTCGACTCTTTTTTCTCCTTGTCCGCGAGCCTCACGCTCGGGGGCAGTTTGCCTCCTATTTTCAATAACATCTTCATCTATCCGGGTCTCATGAAATCAATATATCAAAGCGGATCGTGAGTGGGAATTTGATGAGGGTTCCCATGGTTAGCACGCTGCGAGGACCCCGAGGACGGACCTCATCGTCAGCGCGACGAATGCCGGCGATCAGGGTTTCTCCCCTGTCACTCGTTATTATAACTAAAGTGGACGTACTAACGAGTCGCGGACTTTTATACGAGAACGCGATTACTAAGCATAAAATTTAAAATATAATTCGTAAAAGTTTTAATTCCAGGTAGGATGTTTGGACGCTATCGTGTTTAAGTTCGCAGCAGAGTGGCGCGCGGCGAGCACGGGCCAGACGATGTGTACGGTCGGCGGTCGGTTCGCTACTGAGGGGCCGAGTTGAACTGAGAGCAGGGTTCTCGCACGCTAAACGCCACGCTACCGCCTATCCACTGTAGCTGTAGCTATACCGCACTCACAGGATACGATCCTGCGCCAGGATTAGCAGAAATACGCTTATTTTACGAGCATTGTGTCAACTTTTATTGTCAATAGAGAAGGTTAGTGAAGTAGTTAACTATAATTATAGGCAGTTCATTTGTCAATTTTATTAGTAAATTAATTTAACATACAAACACATACATTTTTAGCACAATACATTTTCGTTTATCGATGTTGTTTTACTTCAAGTAAAGTTTTATTGTACGTTAAAATGCCAAAGTAGTGTTAGCGAGGGATGTTTGGGGCGGTAGTTGTCGCGGCTTGGGGCGGCTTGGGGTGACTTGGGGCTCGCGGACTTCACACGCAGACGACGATCAATATACATTACACATCTGCAGGTCCAGGGCGGTGGGCTGATGATTGCTTGAGGAGTCACCGCTCTAAGATAAGGCTATAAGGACATGCATGAAAAGACATCTACTCGTCGTTGTGATGACAACAGCAGTAGATGTACTGCTAGTTAATGTTGGATCATTTTTAAATTCAGAAATTAACTTGTTACCGCAAAAAAAACGATTTTCATTTTCTACATTTTAAGGTTTAATACAGGTCTGTCATACCGTTTTTGTAAAACATAAGACATGAGGTTTAACAAATGCAATCTGTGATGTCAAGCATTGAAATTTATTTCTGAATTAAAAAATGGAGGACATTTGTAGACTGCATATCTGTATAGTGCGATGGGACACACCTAAACATAAATGACTAATGGCTTAAAAACGTCGACGTGTCTTTCGGCGTATCACTTTAGAGCTTTTAACTCTGTTACTTTAACGAGGGGAGTGCAAGGGAGTGAGGCAGGGCGCCAGGGCGGGAGGGCGCTGCGGATATCTCCATAAACCGAGGCATCATCCTCCGCGGCCGACACACTTAACTTATCCTCCATAAACTAACTTTATTGAAGTCATAAGAATACTTTGTACTGACAATAATCACCTTCTGAGAAATATTGTTATTTATAGTGAGCGAGCGGCGCCGTAAACGTCGACACATCACCAATTAAAATATCATGTTACATATAAAGCA